TGATGACCAGTCTGTACGGCGATGCTCACTGGGTGATGATCAGTCTGTACGGTGATGCTCACTGGGTGATGACCAGTCTGTATGGTGATGCTCACTGGGTGATGACCAATCTGTACAGTGATGCTCACTGGGTGATGACCAGTCTGTACTGTGATGCTCACTGGGTGATGACCAATCTGTACAGTGATGCTCACTGGGTGATGACCAGTCTGTACGGTGATGCTCACTGGGTGATGACCAGTCTGTATGGTGATGCTCACTGGGTGATAAACAGTCTGTACAATTACAAAGCCCCCCCACCCCCAGCTCACTGAAAAGCACAGGTCTCCTGCAAGGGTGTGGGATGGGGAGGAAGTGCCCCTGAGCTCCCTGCCTCTCTGGTTCTGGCCTGCGGGCTCTGGGAGGATTCTTTCTGAGCTCCATGGGGTCAGGCCTCCAAAGAATGACCTGGGAAGGTCTGGGCTGACCCCTCCCTCAGACATGCTCAGGAGGGAGTCTCAGACCCCTTCTCGCCTCTTGTCTAAACCTCCCCGCTCTCTGTCAGCTCCAGCCCAGGCCCAGATCGTCCACGCGGGCCAGGCGTGTGTGGTGAAAGAGGACAACATCAGCGAGCGCGTCTACACCATCCGGGAGGGCGACACCCTGGTGCTGCAGTGCCTTGTCACCGGGCACCCTCGGCCCCAGGTAGGCCCCCATCCAGCCTGTGCGGCCCCTCCTCCCTCCCACCCCCACTCTGGGATCACAGCTTGAGAAGCTGAAGCAGGGGTTGGGGACTAGGGGCGATAGTGGCAAATACACAGAAGACAGGGGATGGGGCTGGGGAAGTAGCTGGAAAATGAACTCTCTGAGGAAGGGCTGGAGGCTGCGGGCTTATTCGCCTGGAAACATTGATGGCCAAGGGGAAAACCTGAGTGTCAGGTATTCGGTTCCACTCCATCCCTCGTGTCTGTGAGCAGACACATCCTCAGATGTACCTTCAGCCCCTGTTAGAGGCCGTGTGCCAAGCGCTAGGATAGGTGCTTTCTCCAGTGTTTTCTCGTTGGCTCATCACAACCATTGTTTTCCCTGCTACTTAGGCTCAATCCCTGGGCTCATATTTGGAGATTGAGGTTCAGGGAGGTTAGGTAAACTCCCAAGGCCACACAGGTCTGGTGAAGGTGGACGCAGAATTTGAATCCAGAACCAGTGTTCTCTGTGGCTTGGCACACTTCCTCCCAGGGCATCCGTCTTTGGATTGGGGACTCCAGGAATTACCAGCAACATTTAATACAATCTCTACTTTTGGAGGCTTCTGCTAGACAAGCCCTACACTCTGGAGATTAAAAGACTCAAAGCAATTAGAAAGCAACAGATGCTGAGAATCTGGAAATGCCAGGTGAATCTCGTCCCAGACCAACAGAATGATTCAGACAGGAAGCCGAGGCTGGTTATCGCCGAGAGCCACTGGGAGGAGGCAGGAGGCGGCGGGCTGGAGGGAGGATGCAATTTGCCGGTGAGCTGCTGTGACCTTTAAGAGGAGCAGAAGAGGTTTCGATTGGATCCTAGAAGGAGAGTGAAATGTGAAATCAAATGTCCTTTCTCAGGACAATTTTAGGAACAGGGATGGCTTTAGTAGGTTGGGCCTTGAGACAAGCAGACGGCCAAGGAAACCCCCAAGGACTCTTCGGGCCTGACGCTATGCCTGCTGCTTGCTCCTTCTCTGAGGTTTGTTTAGAGGCGAAAGCGGTGCTGCCAGCCTTCGGGCCCGTGTTGTGTCAGGTGTGACGATTAGGGATGGTTCTCCTGACGCCAGGGAGGCAGCTGGGCCATCTCTCCCTAAGGCGCACTAGCCATCTGTGGGTGTCCCCTGTGTATGAGTCATCTGTGGTTGTGGCTGTCTGTACAAGCCTTCATCTTTCCATTTCCATCCAGGGTTTCATTGTTTTTCCTGCTACCTAGGCTCAACCCCCTGGGCCCCTGTTTGACTCTGTCCTATCTCATTCCCCACAGATAGCCGGCCTCTGAGGCCTGTCTTTCTATGCCCTTGCATGGGTCTTCTCCTCTCTATTCCTCATTGCTCCTCTAGGTCAGACCTTCAGTCCTGTTCCTTGGTCCCCTGCAGTAGACTCTCACTGGCCTCCTATTCTCCCATGTCTCCCCCTCCAATCCATTCCTGCACCCTGTTCCCAATTCTCATCCTCCAGCCGGCTGCATCATATCATTGCCCTGCTCCGAAACCTTCGATGGCTCCCTGTTAGCAACCAGACTCAGCTCAGGTTCCTGGAGGTAGAATTGAAGACCTCCCACAATCCGGCCCCCTCCTGCCTTTCCTATCTCAGCTCCCACTGGCATCCTCCTCACACCCTGTGTTCCAGTCGAACTTGCCCAGTACACCCAGCCCATTCCTGCTTTAACCACTGCGGCTCACCTCTCCTGAAACGCCTTCAGTTCCCTTTTTCACTCGTTTCATTACAACCAATATTTATTGAATCCCTGCCATGTGCCAAGCCCTGTGATGGGGCACAAGGATATAGCTACGGTCCTGTTGTCATGGAGCATCTAGTCTCAGGGGAGCAGCCCCCTCTTCTGGCCCCCTGTGTGGGGGACTGAGTGGGCGGGGCATTCTCCACTCCAATTGTCATGAGAGGGAACCCCTGGGGCCAACATGCGGAAGGAATCCATAACGATGGTAGTGAGCAGAAGCTGAAGAACCTGGTCGGTGGAGGGCCATGGACCTCAGGGGTAGGGTTCATGCACACGGAAGGGACATGAGTTGAGGCCACAGGGCCGTCCATGGCTGGGGAGCTGGAGCTGGACTCTGTCTAACGCTGGAAGCTCGACACGAGTGGCACCACCTATCACTGGAGACCAGAGACCTCTGTCCACAGCCCAGAGTCACAGCCGGGAGCAGACCCTCAGTCACCTAGGAGAGAGCGTGACCCTAAGCCTGTCGCTGTCTTGCACTATCCAAGTGGTGAGGAAACCCTGAGCTGAGAAACGAACATAAAAACTGGTTGGAACCTGTGCACCCATGTATATTGGACATAGGCAGCCATAAAGCTACACCACAGGCAGGGAAGGATAAAGCAAACCACATCCTAAGCAGCATGGACACAAACGCCATCTCGACAATCATGTTAAAACCGCACAAGCCAAGTACAAAAAGAAAACATATTTCCATGGCCTTGTTCTCTCTCTAAAGCACCCTGTGGTCTAAGTGCAGATTGCCTGAAACGGCCTGCGTCCTTCCCCAGGTTCTGCAAGCTCTAAGCCCATGAGGGTAGGGTTGTGTGTCGCGGGGATGAGAGTAGCAACGTTATGGCCTGCAGTGGACCCTCCCTGCGTGAGAAGGTTGTCCTTTCACCGACTTCTCCCAGCCTTTTTTTTCATGACCTGTGGCCTGACCTAGTCACCAGGCTCAGGGCCCTGGCCCTGTCTCAGTAACAAGCAGTCCTCCTCAACTTTAGATGGAAATGTCCCTATCGCATCCCCTGATCCTTAGGACTTAGTCATCTGAAACGGGTCAGTTTTTCTCGAACCTCTGGTACTTTCAACAGTAGCTCCAGTTTCTTGGGGGATCCGTGATAGTGTCCACCATCTAAGGCAGTGGTTCTCAACCTTCTGGCCCTTTAAATACAGTTCCTCATGTTGTGACCCAACCATAAAATTATTTTCGTTGCTACTTCATAACTGCAATATTGCTACTGTTATGAATCGTCATGTAAATATCTGATATGCAGGATGTTCTTAGGCGACCCCTGTGAAAGGGTCGTTCGACCGCCAAAGGGGTCGAGACCCACAGGTTGAGAACCACTGACTAAGGCAATGTTAATAATAGCCATTTATTGAGTGACTCATATATACCAGGCCCCACACCTAGCTGCTTTACATACTTTATTCCTGCACGTCACAATGACCCTGCAAAGTGGGTGTTATGCTACATAATAGTTATGGTTATCTGTTGCTACAGAACAAGTGCTCCAAAATGAGGGGCTTAAAACACTATTGTCTGACGGTTTCTGCGGGATAGGCATGTGGAGTGGCTGAGTTGGCTGGTGCTGGCTCAGGGTCTCTCAGCGGCTGCAGTCATTTGAGGACTGACTGGGGCTGGCACATCCCCTTCCAGGCCACTTCCAGGTGCTGACCCGAGGCTTCCCGCCCTCCCTGTGGGCCTCTCCATAGGGTTGCTCATGACATGACAGCTGGCTTTCCCCACAGCGAGAAAGCCACCAAGATGGGTTGGAGGTGACGTACCATCATCACTCCTGCCCTATTCTATTGGTCACACAGACCATCCCTGGTACTAAGTGTGAGAGGACTACAGAAAGGTGTGAATACCAGGAGGCAGGCGTCATTCCAGGCCAGCATGGACACTGGCTACCACCTAGACCTCTTGCACAGATGAGAAATCTGAAGCCTTCCAGGCACTAAGTATACATTAATTTAATACCCCCAGTCACCCCAGGAGGGTGCAATATTCTCCATTTTACAAATGAGGAAAGGAAGGCAGGAGAGGTTGGGTAACTTGCCCACAAGTCCATGCTCCAAGCACTGCACATACTGCCTTCTTTAAAACCTTAGCCGTCTGACCCCGGATTCCCCAGGCTCTTGGCTGACATGTCCTACCTTGCCTGCGCATTCCCACAAGTCTGTTTGGGTTGGTTTCCTAGGCCACGTAAGCTTGTGAAGGGGAGACACATTGCAGGGTTCAGCCTGGAGGCCCCCCACCCTCACTGTGGGGTCTGAATCTGCCCTCCCTGCCTGCCCAGGTGCGGTGGACCAAGACTGCGGGGAGCGCGTCCGACAAGTTCCAGGAGACGTCCGTGTTCAATGAGACTCTGCGCATCGAGCGCATCGCGCGCACGCAGGGCGGACGCTACTACTGCAAAGCCGAGAACGGCGTGGGCGTGCCCGCCATCAAGTCCATCCGCGTGGACGTGCAGTGTGAGTTGGCGCCCTTCCTGTCTGTCCTGGCCCCGCCCTGTCCATCCTGGCTTCGGGAGACCCCCTGGGGCTCAGGCTGGGTAGGAGGAGTGGGAGTGGAGTGCCACAGAGAACCGACGCCTCCGTGGAGGACAGTAGACACTTCCTCTCTTCCATGCTGGAGAGGGAAATCGCTGCTGCATCCCTGCGGTTCCTCCGATGTGTACTACCCCCTATGCTACTCACACTTTCCCGTCCCTAATCCCTTATGAATCTCGCAACATCCCTGCCAGAGGGCAAGACAGGTTGGATTATACCCATTCCACAGATGAAGAAACTAAGGTACCAAGGGCTCATGACTTGTTCAAGGGCATAGGTCTCTTCATTATGGTCCAGTGCCCTTCCCACATACCTCATGCCTCTGATTTTGTCCCAGGGCAGCTCTGAAACTTCCTTACCCCACCACATGCAGGCGCAAGCACCCGTCAGTCCTTGCTGCTTGAATGGGAAGTCCCCAGTCCCTACCTGCCCCATGGATATTCCCTTAATCCCAAGAGGCTAGCTCCCTGCTTGCCACCGGCCTCTGTGCCTATCCAGGCTGACCCAGGTACCCAGCACCTGTGGGGCCAGGCCCAAGGGCCTGGCTTATACAATCTTAATGTCTACAATGAACTTACCTATTAAAGACACCTCACACTACCCTAGTGGAGCCCGATAGAGTGGTGAGCAATGGAACCCCAGGTCCTCTCTTCTGTCCCCCATCAGCCACCCAGGGGCATGCTGGGAGGGTGAAGATAGACCCTCTGGGACTAAGGGTCATTTCTCGAGTTATTGGTGCTGGAAGGGGCTGGCAGGCATGCCCTGGACTTCATCACTGCCCCACCTCTGCCCATGGCCTTGGTAATGATCTTTATCTCAGTGGACCGTGGAAGGAGGACAGAATATTGGGCTGTTGGAACACCCACTGAAGGATGTGTGCATGTGGAATGATGGTGCCTTTGGTTCACAATCCTGGTTGCACATTAGAATCCCTGGGGGGAGGGGAGGGGATCCTTTTAAAAAATACAGATGTCTGGATCCTGCTTTCAGAGATTCTGAGGTAATTGACTGGGGGTGGGGCCCTGACATTGGGTTTGTTTTTTTTTTTAATTGAGGATTAACCTACATGCAATAGAGTGCACTAGTCACAAATATACAACTTAATGAATTCTTACATGTGTATGTGCCTGTGCAAACACCACCAGTTCAAGAGAACCTCCAGGACCTAGAAAGTTCCCTCATACCCCCGCCGTCAGTAATCTTCTTACAGGCAATCACTCTTCTGATTTCTGACACTGTTAATGAGCTCTTCCAGGCATCGGTATTAAAAAGGAAATCTCCATGTGGTTCTATTGTGCAAACAGGGGCGAGAACCACCAATCTAGTCCAATTTACTACGGAGGAAATTGGCAGGGAGGGACTTAGGCAGGTCTCACTACAAATTAATAGCTAGCCTGGGATTTGAACCAGGGTGTATCTGCTTCCTCCATCCCATGCTGGGAGGGTGAAGATAGACAACCCCCATGCCGGTCCCTGGGGAGGGAGGGACAGCTGGGGAGTCATCAAGTCCAGCCCCCTGATCCTCAAGGTTGGTCAAGCTTGCAGGGCTGGGAGCGCATCTGGAAGCACCCGTGAGGGTGGCTCAGCTTTCCCTGAGGGCTGTCAGGAGCCCAAGCCCCCCACTTAGGGGTCACCCAGTCCTGACTCCCCTGGGGCTGTGCCCTTGCAGACCTGGACGAGCCGGTGCTGACGGTGCACCAGACAGTGAGTGACGTTCGAGGCAACTTCTACCAGGAGAAGACGGTGTTCCTGCGCTGCACCGTCAACTCCAACCCGCCGGCCCGCTTCATCTGGAAGCGCGGCTCCGACACCCTGTCCCACAGCCAGGACAACGGCGTGGACATCTATGAGCCCCTCTACACCCAGGTCAGGATGGGCAGTAGCTGGCCTGGTCTCCTCATGGCTCACCCTGCACTTCCTCCTGCACCCAACCAGGGAGGGGGCACGGGGGCTGAGGCCTCGCCATCTGCAGGTCTTGGGACTGCCCTGGCTGAAGCAGCATGTTCTGACATCAGACACTCTGGGCAGATGAAACGGGACGAAGAGCTCAGGGAACAGTGATGGGGACAGGAGCATCCTCAGGGCAACAAGTCCTTCTGGAACATTGCCAGTTAGGAAAGACACCCCCTAGAGCAGTGGTTCTCAACCTGTGGGTCGCGACCCCTTTGGGGGTCGAACAGCCCTTTCACAGGGGTCACCTAAAAGACCATCGGAAAACACATATATAATTACATGTTGTTTTTGTAACACTATGCTTTAATTATGTTCAATTTGTAACAATGAAATTGGGGGTCGCCACAACATGAGGAACTGTACTAAAGGGTCGCGGCATTAGGAAGGTTGAGAACCGCTGCCCTAGAGGGAGGCGAGTCACCCCTGCCCGCTGTTGGCTGTCAGAGTATTGGAACCCCCTGGGCAGACGAAGCAGGAGTTGGGGGCAGAGAGATGACTCCACTTCCCATAGGCCTCCTAGGGTCCCAAGAAATGGTGATGAAGCATTCCTACCAGGGAGGGCTTTCAAAGGCGGCTTTTGGAGGTGGCTGCCAGAGTGCCACATGTGGCCTTGGCCTGTGGGATTAGCTCCATATTCGTGAGAGCAGGGTTCCCTCCCTACCCCTCCATCTTCCAAAGTGGAGAAACTGAGGCCGGGTCCTGGCCAGTGTGCACCAGGGCAGTCTCAGCCCCAGAGAAACCCAAGGTTTGGGGAGTGCAGCATCCCCCCCAGACTCAGGCTCCCTGGGGATAAATGGTGTGGAGATGGGGGAAGATCGGCATTTACTTCAGCCCCTGGTGCTGGACAATGTGTGAGGGACCCCTGGAGACCCGAGCAGACCCCTCACACCAGTGGTCCACTGCTGCCCAGGGGGAGACCAAGGTCCTGAAGCTGAAGAACCTTCGGCCCCAGGATTACGCCAGCTACACCTGCCAGGTGTCTGTACGCAACGTGTGTGGCATCCCGGACAAGGCCATCACTTTCCGGCTCACCAACACCACGGGTACAGGCACTTCCCCGCCCATACCCCTGCCCACCTGAGCTGACTCCCCACCCAGGAGACAGTGCCTCACCCCATACAGAACTCCAGGCACATCACCACCAGTGCATCCCTGCTCCCCTCTGCCTGCTCCCTGCCTTCTCCCCTTTCTTTCTTCTCCCCATCCTTCCCCAACCCCATGATTTTCCTAGCTCCTATATCCCCACATTCAGCCCTGCCTCCCACCCCCCCTAAGACCCCACCTCCTTGTCCTCTTAGCACCACCAGCCCTGAAGCTGTCTGTGAATGAAACGCTGGTGGTGAACCCTGGGGAGAATGTGACGGTGCAGTGTCTGCTGACAGGCGGTGATCCCCTACCCCAGCTGCAGTGGTCCCATGGGCCGGGCCCGCTGCCCTTGGGGGCTCTGGCCCAGGGTGGCATCCTCAGCATCCCTTCAGTGCAGGCCCTGGACTCTGGCTACTACAACTGCACAGCCACCAACAATGTGGGCAACCCCGCCAAGAAGACGGTCAACCTGCTGGTGCGATGTACGTGGCTCCGGAGGGGTGGGGGTGGGGGAACTCAGAGGCAGACAGGGTCCCTGTCCTCCAGGAAGGACCGAGGAAGTGGGAGAGGGGCCTGTCTGCTTCCTCTTGGTAGGTGATATATGCTGAGAAGGCATGTTCCAGGCACTTTTATTTCCCTGCAGATGGCAGGATTAAATTCTGTGTAAAGTTTTACTTACAATTTACAATCTACATTTCCAAATATAAACTCAACAATCCAAGAGGTAGGGAGGACTGGTATTGAGTACCTACTTTTTTTTTTTAAGATTGGGAAACAGGTTGCAAAAAGTTAAGTATGGACTTCCAGTCTTTAGGAGAAATTTCCTGGCTTTCTTTTTGTACACTGGTTTCCACATGATTCACTGAGTTAAAGTGAAAATAACACATTTCCACATACCTCATGTGTAAATATTTGCTAGCAAAGCATTTCAGTGAGTCTGAAGATAATTATTAAATGTAAAAATGATACAAAACTTGGAGTATGATCTAAAGAAGTACAAACATGTTCCTTACTAAACCTCAGCCTCAGTAGTTAGCATTAGCTGCTTGATATGATCTTGATTTTGCTACTCTGCTTCAAGGGGAAAACTTTAAATTCTTCTTGTGTCGCTTTAGGTTATTTGTTTATTTTATGTTTTTTAAAAGGCACAGCTGTTACCAGCTCTTTAGCACTTAAAAGTAAAATATAGCTTCTGCCAAATTTGACTCAGAGTCTTCTGAAGAAACAAACACTTTTTGTTGTTGATCTTTCACCGACCACTCTCTGACTCTCCTCATAAGAAGAAGTTAACCCTCTGTTACTTTTTACTTAATCAGAGCAAGAAAGAAAGCAGCAAGACTGACTATCTGATGACTGTTTTCCCCTTGATGGTACTTTTCACATCAGAAGATTCTTCTTTTCCACCTGTTTTCATTTGACCTTTAAAACCTGAGTTGATGAGGTCTCAATTTACATCCAATACTTACGGTCACTTCTTTTTTAAAATATATTTGTATTGATTTCAGAGAGGAAGGGAGAGGGGGAGAGAAAGAGAAACATCAGTGATGAGAGAGAATCATTGATCGGCTACCTCCTGCACGCCCCACACTGGTTATCGAGCCCACAACCCAGGTGTATTCTCTGAGTGAGAATCAAACAATGACTTCCTGGCCAGGCTCTTCTGGTCACTTCCTAGGGGGACATAGAGCTTGCTTTGCCCAACCCAGCAAAGGATACCAGTGGCTGTGGTATAAGTGTTCTGTCCAATTAGCATCCAATATTAAGAGTCATGTCTAACTCTTGCATTACATCAAGCAATATTTAGATTTTAAAAGAGGCCAGACCCCTTACTTTGTAAACTCTGAGCTTTAATGTAACTGCATGTAAAATTATTGTATTGGGCTCTTACTATAACAATCACAGTAACTTGCTGAAACGAGTTAAATAGCACCAAAGCGTAAAATGTACAGATTAAAATTTCCCCTCAGTTTCCCTCAGTCCCACTGTCTAGATAGAACCACTGTTACATTCTGTTGCATCCTTACAGAATTTGTATTTTGTTCATTCAAGGTTTAAAACGAGAATACAAATAAAGTAGCGCAGTGGTTACGAGCACAGGCTCGGAATTAAACTATCTGAGCGTCGGTTCCCTCCTTGTAAAACAGGGACGATAAAGTGCCTCCCTCACAGACCGGGGGATGAGTTAAATGAGTCAACCTGTGCAAAGTGCGTGGAACAGTGCCTCTCACCAAGTGTGTGTTCAGTAACAGTGACTCTAATGATCACCAAACCCACTTTTCTGCAGCGAGCTTTTTTAAACTCTTAAAAACACATCTGAACAAGTAGAACAATTTCCAAGCAAAAGGATGGTTTCTGGTGGTGGCGGCGGCGGTGGTGGGAGGGTGTAGCTCCCGACCTGCAGGAGGGCTACTTTGAGGGGAGGAGCTGGGTCTGGGGAGGGGTGGGACATGACCCTGGCTTTGGGCCAGCCCCAGCCAACCTGTCCTCCCCACCCACCTGCAGCCATGAAGAATGCCACATTCCAGATCACCCCAGACGTGATCAAAGAAAGTGAGAACATACAGCTGGGCCAGGACCTGAAGCTCTCGTGCCACGTGGATGCGGTGCCCCAGGAGAAGGTGACCTATCAGTGGTTCAAGAACGGCAAGCCGGCACGCATGTCCAAGAGGCTGCTGGTGACCCGGAACGACCCTGAGTTGCCTGCGGTCACAAGCAGCCTAGAGCTCATTGACCTGCACTTCAGCGACTATGGCACCTACCTGTGTGTGGCTTCCTTCCCAGGAGCACCTGTACCCGACCTGAGCGTCGAAGTCAACATCTCCTCTGAGACAGGTGGGCGGCTGGTGGGGCAGCGGGGAGGTGTGAGGGAGCTGGAGAGGCCCACAGAGGGGAGAGGGGCGGGGAGGCAGCAGCATGGGGAAGGGAGGCCAGCGTGGAAAGACTCCGTTTGTTCATGCCACACACATTTATCAGGCACCTGTTCTATGCCAGGCGCCGTGGTAGGTGCTGGGCAACATAGCCTCTGCCCTCATTGAACTAAGTAGGAAGGCAAACGTTTTTCAGATAGTCCCACAGATGAATGTGCCACGGCAAACTGTGATGCCTGAGACAGGAAAGAGTTCGCTAAGATAAAATCTTTGGTCTGCGATCTGAGGAGGGAGGGGTGGGATTTTATGAGGCAAAAGAGAGCCAGGGAGGGTGGAGGAGAAAGGCAGGTCAAGGAATCAGCAAATAAGGGCACTGAGGCAGGGCAGGGTGGGGGCCATTTGAAGAACTGAAGGAAGGACAGCGTGGCTGGGGGGATGGGGTGAATGAGAGCATAGAGGCCAGCCGAGGCCAGGTTATGCAGGGGATCTGGGTCGCTGTTCCAATAACAATAAATAATAATGAAATAATTATGGCTAACATTTATTGAGTACTTCCTATGTGTTCTAATGATTTTTATATTTATCTTATTCGCCTTCATGATTTACCTTATGGGATAGATAATTTAACTTCAGTTTTTAGAGACGAAGAAACAGGCTCAGAGAGTTTAAGAAGCTTACCTAAGACGTCCTGGTTGGGTGGCTCCGTTGTTTGGCCTGTTGTCCTGTCCACCAAAGGGTTAAGGATTCAATTCCTGGTCAGGGCACACACTTAGGTTGCTGGTTTGATCCCTGGTCAGTGCATATATGGGAGCTAACCCATAGTTGTTCTCTCTCACATGGATGTTTCTCTCTCCCTTCTTCTCTATATAAACATATCCTCGGATGAGGACTAAAAAAAATTAAAAAAAAAAAAACTTACCTAAGGCAACATAAGGTAACACAGCAGTAAGTGGTGGAGCTGAGATTTGAACCCAGACCATCTGCCTTCAGAGCCTGAAGGGCCTTCCCTTTGAGAATGACAGGAGCTGGAGGGGATGGCTCTGGAGGGGGTTTCTGGAATCTCGTTTCCAGTCCGCAGCACATTGCACCGAGCAGCTGGCTGACTCGGCGAAGCCTCTTTCACTCCCTGGGTCTCAATTTCTCCTCTGTGAGCCATCGGACGAGACAGCCTTGGTGGCCCTTCCTTCTTGACATCCGCACAGGGGGAGGGGTCAGGAAAGGCTTCCGGTGCGGGCCTTTATGAATGGGCCAGGCCTCCACAGATTCCCAAACTTATTCA